GGCTTCCCATATTATGCTGATAAGGGCGTTGCTTTGCAGTTGAGGTGTAGTCACTATAACAAAACTTCTTCCAGCAGTTATATGTACATACATAAAGTCATGAGACGGCAATAGCTGCTGTCATGCTACATGAGTGTTTACTGTGCGCAACATTAGAGCAGGATTTATAGTCCTATCAGGAGATGTGATTTGTGCCTGTCAACATATTTGTTTCTTAGTCAAGCAGATATTTTAGCCTAATGGCCTGAAGGAGAACATCCATCAGCTCTTTTGTTTTGTTTTTTCGAGCTCTTCTGCACCGGTGGCACCTTTGACATTGAATGAGTAAATCCATCTTTTATACACAATTTATGAACTGAAACCTGAGTGCGGCTTGGGCTGATGGAAGCCGCATTAGTTAGGGCTTCAGCAGATCATGCTTTTAATTTAATGACGGGACTGACAATGTCGTTGAAGGTCTTTCTGAGGGAGACACACCAAAAGCCTGAACCAAAAGCCGTAGGTTTTCCTTGATCCCATTTGTTCACTATGTTTGTGCCACTGACCTCTGGCACCTTGCAAAATCATAAATTGTTCTTGAAACTTTTTGCTTTAAGTAATGCTGAAGCTTTTGGAGATTTTGTTGTAATTTTATTCGAGGAGTGGAATTTAAAGGGTGATTTTCACACGTTTTACAAGTAAAAATCTGGAATGTGTGACATGCATGTGTATTCATCCAATCTAAGAAGATTCCTTTTAGAAGAATCTTGCAGATACAGCAAGTTTTTAACAGCAAGTTAACATAACGTTTTATCACAGATTTTCAATTTTCAACTTTTACATTATTGACATGAAACTGTGACAATAAAAGCAGAAGCAAAAGAAATGCAGGTAAGTATTAAGCGATTTTTTTGAAAGCACTGACTATTGCAAAGTGCTGTATTTTAAATTGATAATAGAAAATGCTTTTTTTTATCTAAATACAATTTTTTTGAATAGTATTTTTATACAGCATATTGGCTGTAAAAGGTTTTTGCTTGTAAGAAAGGTTGAATTTAATCAGTACAGACCCAGAAGAAATGGTATTAACCTAAGAGTTAAATAACAGCTCTGTGACTAAGATTATGACTCATAACTCAGTCTGTACTTTTTGCGCTGTTAACGTTTCTACTCACTGCAAACTATGTGTCATAAGTTTTTTCTGACTATTTCAACATAGAAAAAATAAATAATATACCATGCAACAGATGCAAATGATAAAAGGTTGTTTTGTTGTTTTAAAAGAAATGAACTTTCCATTTAAAGCTATGATGCTATTCTTTCTACATATCATGAGTGTGTCACTTAATTGAGTAGTTAGATACAGCAAATGAGCCTCTAAATGAGCTTAAAACGCACTATCAAAGTTAATTAACACTGGGCAGCATAATCTGTTAACTCTCTACACAATTCTCATTAAATTAAATAAGAATACTTAAAAGAAGCAGGATTTTTAAGAGTTAAACGTTATTAATAATGCCTTGGGTGGTTATCATAATTCATAAATGTCTTAATTAAAGCTTTTCTAGTGTTTAGTCTTAATCCACTTTTGTGATTACAGCATCCCACCGCATCCCATCAATGCATGCATAAATCATTCCTATCCCCCAAACAGTTAAAATATCCCTATAGCGGATCCTGAACTTCCTCACTTTGTATCTCATGGATGGCAAAATGTAGTTTCTGTGCTAAAGTAAATCAAAATATTCTTGTTACCTCAAGTTTGCAGACAAATTTGAATGTTTGATGGGAGGAAAAGAAAACTGTTGCTTCCTGGGTCTGCTTGGTCTATCAGCTTAGCCAACAGTGAACTGCAACAATAAAACTGACAAAAAAGATAACTTATTTGGATTATTACTTCAGATTGTTGTTAGGAGTCGAATCTTGTCTTGATATGCAAAAAAGTTATTGGCTGGACTTTCTTTTCTTGAAATGACCTCTGAACATCCCAGTGGGTTCAACATAGGATGTCTTAATCTGAAATAAAACTGTTAATAGTACAAAAAAACTAATAATCTTGCTGGGTAAGTTGGGTTTTAGTTTCACTGAAGGTGCAGGAATACAAAACAAAACGAAGGTTGCTGAAACTTTCAATTACATTTGGTGGAAATGGGTGCACAGGACAAAACATTGTAATTGGATCTGAAGGTTGACTAAGCCTGTACAATATTTGGCTGCTGCAGAACTTCTTTAATGCTGCTGAGTGTTTCTCTGTTTTGCTAATCCATTACTCTCTGACTCTTAAGCAAGTGCCCAGCAAATCAGTGCTCCATGCAGCGATTACGTAATCAGAACCTCATCAATTCACCAAAGGAAATTGGAGTCATTAAGCAAAAAACGGGTTCTACTGTTTCTTTCAAACACTCTTGTTTCTTGTTTAACAGGCGCGGGAAAGTCCAAAAGACTATCAGTACTTGTTCTGACAATAATGCACACCATCTGTGCAATAAAAAGGATATTCCACCTCGGCATAAAGTCATGACAAAGGCCTTCTTTAAAGGTCTTGGCAGTGGTTGTGAAATGTGGAAAATGTCCCTTTTCTGAGAGCCCGTCTGCAGTATATCGAACGCAATTCCTGTGCCGACCACAACACAGCCCTTTGGGCATGCCAGTAGGAATGACCAATTTTAGCATGAGTCATCCTCTGCAAGTCTCAAATGTTGCACTAAACGCTTGCGATGAAAACACTTCATGGATTGGAACGGCGAGGACCGCCATGTCTGCACTCACTGAGACTCACGTCACAGGTTGCAATCACTCAGTTTTCACATCCACTGCACTGTGTTCACATTACCACTGTCATATTTAGCAGATGTTTTCTGAACAAATGCAAAAAAAAAAAAAAGATTTTGAATGTTTTGAGACTGGGTCGGACCACTTGGCGGACTGCTGCTGTAACCAACTCAAACATTGATCTGTTTTACAATCAATCAAATGGAGAGTGCGTCTCAGGGTCAGCAGAGACACTATTACCCGAGGCAGATGTGGATTAATGACTGCATAAAGCTTTTTCCTCATCCTGCACATTTTATTGCCTATTTGTATTTTTTAGCACTTTCCTTTCCCAGTTTCTGCACTGTTAAATCCTACTGGCACGGGCGATATTTTATTTTTTTTCTTAGAAGAACATGCTGCACATTTATGCTTAATATCTCCTCATGATATTTATTTCCATCACTTTTCTTGAAGCAGGAATTGTTTTCTGTAATGTATTTTCCAAACATTTATGCTTCCTCCTGTTGTGCTCATCTACAGTCCGCCCGCACACTCTTCCTCAGTCTAGTCAAGAGATGCCTGGAATTATTTACTGCCTAATGGGTTACAGCAGCTCACACCAGCCCAGCGGTGCTTTACTTTATTTATCGATTCTCATTCCTTTTGTCTTATTGTGTCTGGGTGTGTGACAGTGACCATCTGCGTGTACGTGCAGGACAAGGACGCAAAAGCAAAGACGAAGAAAGAAACCCCAACAACAATAACAACAACAAGGACACTTTGCACATTTGAGTTGCTGGAGAAATGACCTGTGGATTGCAAATTGATTGATATGTTTTTTTTTTTTTTTTGAAGGCTAACGGCTGATTCCACAACAGCACGAGCTCACATCCGTTTAAATGACGTATGTATGCTTGTGCCGTACATGGGAGCGCGTGCAAACACCACAGTGACAAACATCAATCTGTGAGGAAACATGCAAATGGGTTTTAGCAGACACAACTCTTTAAATTGCAAACAAATCAATCTATAGGTGCTGCTGCACAGGTTTTGTTGAGTACATTAAACAGTGCAGAAGAGAACAGCTTTGTGTAAACACATCAAATGATGGATTTCTGCAACTATTTTTGCACTTTTATTACTCAAAGGTTGTTCTTCCTCAATTGAAGCATTAAGAAGTTTATTATTTTCGTGCCGCTAAAAGTGGAAAGTAAAACATTTAACAAATTCTGGTTTCTCTCGTCTCACTTCAAATCTATGATTTTCACCTGCATGAAAGCAAAGAAATTCAAGTTTCTCGGTGTCATATTCCTGAATGTTTGATGCAGGAAAGACTTTTTGGGGTGCAGTCTGCAGTATTGTAAGGTTTCTTCTGGTCTGTTGTGGTGAAGAAAGAACAAAAGTCATGACCCTTACCCCTGGTCCAGAGAAATGACTTATGAACGAAAAGATTAAATCACGGACATGAGCACGTTTTGTAGGCCGACTGGGTTCTGAATTAATGATGAGGAAGAGCAGGGTAGAGCTACAGCTCCTCCACAGTCAAAAGGCATCTGATGTGGTTCTCGTAACTATTCTGGATGCAGACCCAGATCCTTTCTGGGTTCTGAAAATGTAATAAGCTATAACCACTTATCTTCCCAGTGTAATCTCAGAAAGGCAGAACATGATCAGTGGATACCTTAATAAAATATTTCCCCCAAAATTTGATGAAATGCCGTTTTCAACAAAGACTTCCACTGGCTTTAGATGTTTTATTGAATAATTTGCATCAAATTTGTTATTTACATTATTTGCGAAATGTCTATTGTTGGTCAAAAGATAATTCTTTGACTTTCTGTTGTTGCTTAAGCATATTACACAATTTTAAAAATGCATTCTAAATAAACGATGTGTAACTTGTCCCTTTCTAATTGTTTACTTACACTTAAGTATTTAGTTTGCATGATAATCTGAGTCTTATCATCACCCTTATTCTAATTATTACTTTTTAACCTTTTAAATAACGCTATGGCAGTAAATGTAATAATGTTCCATTACTATTGCATTTGTTATTTGCATGTAAGTTGTTTCTTATAATTTGCTTCATCAGTTGTCAGCCTCAACCATACTGCGAATTCTGCTCTAGTACCTGAAATACATAACTACCTGTTTTATTTCTGTTGGTCATTTTTTACCGTTAGTAATTAAGCCAAATTAGAATAATTTCCAAACTGAACTAAAAAAAATAAAAAATGCTGGGAGAACATAAAAATATGAAATTGATTATTACCCATAAAACTTTCTCTAGTACTATTTTAGGTTTTTCTAACTTGTTCCAATGATTTATGTTGATTTTTGTCAGCATGGTGCAATTTTTATCCGACGACTACCTTCCACTCCAGGGTAAGTAAACAGCCTAAGCAGTGACTCCCTTATTCCTACTCACTTGGGCCAACTCCTCTGGGGGAAGGGCAAGGTGTAACAAGGCAGCCGAAAAAGGCGTTGGTCATCCATGAAGAGGCAGATGACAGAATACTTAGCAAAGGGCCAAGGCTGGGGTCCTTGGTCAGTGTCTGTACCGAGGGTCGGGAGCAGATATCACATAAGCCGTAGTAGGCCTAATCCATCACGGGCAGGATGAGAGTAATGTGGGAATGGGATCAGACACCAGAGGGCGAACAGGGCAAGACCTGAATGAAATCCTATTCACACAATTCACATAATCCAGCAGAGAAGGCAGAGGGGAAATTAAGTAGTGAAGGGAGCAGGTGAAAACAGGCAAGAGACAGGTTAGCAGAAAAGACTTGATTAGCAAGGCGAGAGAGAGAGAGTGACGCAGAAGTGAGGCATAAACATAACATTAAAAGTATGATTCATAACGCCTTGAAACATGTCCTGGGCCTTCATATGGACGTACCAAGAACACCTCAGAAGGAAGATGTCCAGGAGGCATCCAAACCAGATGCCTGAGACACCTCAACCTCTCTTATCTCGCCTCTTGATTTGGAGGAGAAGCAGCTTTACTCTCACCCTGTCCAGCAGAGTCTGTGCAGGAAACTCATGTCAGCTGATTGTATCCCTGAGTTTGTTGCTACCCAGAGTTCATGATGACAGATGAGGGTAGGAATGTAGATTGACTGTTGAATAAAGAACTTAGCTCAGCGCTCTCTCTTCACCTCGATAGATCGGTACAGCGCTCACTCCACTGCAGACAGTGCACCAATCTCTATACAGGCATGAAGATGGCGGGCAATAACTCGAGCCTCCTGCTTGAGTTCAGTGATGGCAACTCCAGAGTGGAAGAGTGCCCAACCACACTTGTGGACACTGGTTCCAGAGCCAGAGCCATGCGTTGAGGTGAGCCTGACTGTATCTCTCAACCATGACCCTTAGGGGTGGTAGACGGGTTCGTCGCCCTGAAAACTGGGTGGTCATCCCACTGGCCATCCCAAGAGAAGACCTCCATCCCCTTTAGGTTATATTCACTTCACACAAACCACCTTTTAATCGCCTTGTCTAATCAAAAGATAAATCAATAAATAAATTAAATAATGAGTAAAACACCAATGTATAGCCACAGGCAGAACGGTGACAACGTTACTCTGAATGAGTTGGAAAGTGAAGGAATGGATCACTTTTCATCCTAACTTAACATTTTTACAAACTGGCACAGGTATTATTATCATCATCATCATCATCATCATCATTATCATATATGACACTAAATGGTCTATGTGAAATGCATGTTCTCGTTTTCATCTCTACGGTCCGGAATGATGGCTTGTAGATAAAAATCAGCCGCAGGAAGAAAATTCTGCAAATGTCATATTTGATGCTCAAAGAGGGACTGCATTGCTCCTTCTGGTGTCTGTCTCTGTTCATAAGGGTCCATTTCAAAGTATCTGAGTGTGTGAGACGGGGAAAGAACTGGAGGGGTGCCTTTAACCCAAATGACCGATTACATAACATCCTAAAAAAAAAAAAAATCACTACATACAGATAACAGAAAAATAAATAAAAATAAATCCCAAAGCAGCGAATGGGTGAATGATACCAGTTCTCCCCATGGTCCTTTTCTCTTCGTGGGAATGATGCTGATATCGCCAAAACCTCGAGTCCTCTGAGTGGATTCAGGATCAATGAGAGAGAGAGAGAGAGAGCAGAAAGGGGTGTCTGCGTGTGTATTTTAAGCCACAGCTGTTGAGCTACCCGTGCTCAAACCCGGAGAGACAAGCGGAGAGCCGAGAGGAGTACACCGTCCGTCTCTTCGCTCTGCGGACGCGTGTGTAAAACCCGTCAGCTCCCGGATTTGCTTCCAACTTTTCTGTTTTTAGCTCGCTCATCTCGTCCTTGTCGCATTCCTCCGAGCGTTTGGAATGACCACTTTTCCCGCCTGCGTCGTTTCCATGTCAGCATGGGAACTGCCGTGTCCAAAAGGAAGAATCTGAGAAACGATGCGATATCTTCTGTGGCAGCAAAAGTTAGGTGAGCAACCCTCGGAGATTGCACCTCTTGGGAGGGATCTGATTCTTCCTTTTTTTTTTCCTTTTTTTTTGGTGTGTGTGGCCATGCATGCAGGTATGACAGTCGGGTGACTTGATGAATGACCACTGCGCTATCCGGGGGTTTAGTCAGCCTGCACTGCCTTGCAATGCGCATAGACGCTCCGTGCGCTTTGTCCCGTCTGTAGCCCCGGGGCGTGCGGCTGATCGGACAAGTGCTTTAAATCTCTCAGCGCTATCTCCCCAGTGCATTTGTAATAGAAACACGTAGATGCCTCTTTTTACTCTGTTGAGGCTCAGGCTTAGTCAGTCTGAATGGGGAGGAAGAGGATCCTTGCCTTCCCATGTTGTTCTGAATGAGGAGGCATCATTGTATAACCAAAGTCATGCAGAGGCAAAGCGAGGACTCGCAGGAAGCCTCTTTTGCATTCTCACTTAGAAGATACCCTGTCGGGGGCTGCCTTTCGCATCCCTCCGCCAATTAATCAATCAGTCACCTAAAATCATCGCCGTCGTGCGCTGATCACCTTCCTCTGTCAGTTGCCTGAGTCGGGCACAGAGCGGGACTGCAGGGGTTGTAAATTCACAAAAAGGAGCCAGGGTGGACGAGAGACCCCTCTGAACCCGGTCAGTGTTTTAATAAAAGACGCAACTAATTCATATTTAGCAGAAAGTCCGTCCGACGGCACGCAGGGGAAGGACCAGCATCTCTACAGGCTGCATCCATCCCGCGCTGCGCTGCTTTGAGTTGGGGCTGCGAAGCACGTGTGGCTGTGCGTTCATGTATGACAGACGGGATAGCCTCCATCCTGTCTGAGAGAGAGAGAGAAAAAAAAAAAATCAAGCATCCGTGCACCAGAGAGGGGAGTTCATAACAGGATCGAGGTGATATGTAATTCTGTCGATGAATGACCTTCAGCTGTGCAAAGTCCAACATCCACACATGTGGGCTGATGTGATATTACGTCATTCCCTCTGTCTGTGTGTGTCACGTAGCAAATCCCATATTTGGTTTTATCTGTGCGCCTTCAGGGCTGCGTGGAGTCTGTGCGCCACTTTGATGCATTCAGCTAACAAGTTGCTCTCAGAGCAGCTTGTGAGCAGTCTCACCAACTTCAATGCAATTTATTCATATGTGATTGAGCAGCATTGCTATAGGTGGTGGATAGCTGTGAAGTGGATGTGAGACGGTTTTCCAAATGTTTAAAACTAATCATCTGGAAAGTGTGGCGTGCATTTGTATTTGTATCCCCTGAACATAAAGCCAGAGTCACAATAGAAGAGTTCATCAAAGCATAATCATATGTTAGAGTGGCCTAGTCAAAGTCCAGGCCAGAGAATCTGCGCCAAGACTTGGAAATTGATTCTCACACATGCGTACAGTCACATATGACTGAATTTGAGCTATTTTACAACACATAACAGGCATATAAGTCTCCAGAAATGAAAAGCTGGTAAAGACATTCACAAAAGACTTGGAACTGCAGAGGAAAGTGGTTCTACAAAACGGTTCTCAAGGGGACTGAACATGCTTATAGTCCACATTTTGTAGATTTGTTTATTTCCCTTGCTCTTTACTTATATACCAAACTTTTGGCTGGTTAATTATATAAAATCCCAATGACATATCCGTCTAAATTTGAAGAAAAACAAAAAATTCAAGGGTTATGAATATGTTATGGCACTGCATTCATAGATAATCTGAGTCTTATGATCGCTCAGGAAATCTGAGTTTAATCTGCAAAGATACTGACACTTAATTCTGTCTTCTATTAATTTCACAGGCACTTATTTACTCATTAGAAATCAAACTTTACCTTATTGTCACAATTTCTACACTTTCAGAAGTGCATCTGTACAGCTAGTATGTTATTATACAGTCTGCACATTGCTTATTATCTAAAGTTTCCTATAAGATATCCACACAACAGTGAAACAACAAAAAAGCAAAACATTTTGCTTTACTGTTTCACAAATTCACTCCACAGCACGTGCTCTTCATTATTGCACATGCATTATGTTTTCTAGAATGCAGCTTTTCTCTTAACTCATAACCCCCCTTCCTTTTGGAAAAAAAAAAAAAAAATATATATATATATTTAAATGTTTGTGGTATCTGATTATTTATTGCTCTCTACATTATTTGACCAGTTTGAATTTGACAAGGTCCATATTTTTAGGTTTAAGTTTAAAAGTTTAACATTTGTATGCTGTAAATATCCCGCCTTATGTATTGCTCATTTTTGCAATGAGAAAAGCAGCTCTAAAGTGCATTTTTATGGTTCCCCAAATCCCCACGCAGTAATTCAAGTCTTGAGGACCAGACTTGGAAACCACTAGCCTAACATAAACTGACCGAATGATGTCGTATCTGTAGCTTAGAATACACATGTGCATTAGTGAGCTTTTTCTTTTCACAGTTTTTGAGAAGTGATGAGGTTACTAAATAACGCCAGCTTTGAAAACCATGTGTACCCCATATCTTTACCAGGAGGACCTTGGAGAAAAACTGCTGCTCCCTTGTATTGAAATCAATCAGTGGAGGTGACATCTGGTCTGGAGAGATCTTTAGCTCTTCATTTTGATTTGTTTTTTCTGGTCTTATCTGAAGAAAACATCAAGACAAACATATTCTGAGAGTTTTTGGATCCACCAGAATGAACTGGAGAGTTTTTCAAGATGGATGGAAGCAGATGTATTTAAAAGTTAAGACACTCTGATTGGTCGTTTAAAACATTGTAGCATAATGTGTTTCTTGTCCAGATTTCGTCCCATGAGTATCAAGACACAAACCCAGTATCAAATTGGCAAACGGTTTCATGTTAATGCAACATCTACCAGCATTAGGCATTTAAAACATCAAACAGTACATACACAAGGCTGAAATAATAATAATAATAATAATAATAATAATAATAATAATAATAATAATAATAATAATAATAATAATAATAATAATAAAAACATACATACTTATTTGTGGACTGTCACTTTAAAGCTTTGAGATTGTTCTATCTTACATAACAAGTTTAGGTAATTGAGCTGAAAGTCACTTGTATTACATATTAATAGTGATTTTAACAAGAGAGTCTGTCAGGATTTGCTCACTTCATTGATTAAAGAGTTTGGCACATGCATGCTGGCTTTACTTACCAGCCCTGGAGTTTGTGGTTTGGTCTGCAGAGTTTTGTCTCCGGTCCACTAAATAGTTTTTAATAGGCTTAATGCTGCAGGAAAGTGGTGGGAATACTGAGTCCGCCATCCCTACAGTTATGTCAGCATGGTGTGCCAGATTTAAAAAGCACTCATCAGGATTATTATATCAAGCAATTACAAAGTGCTTGTCTTCATACGGAGGCTCATTTGAGGAAACAAGCTAATGTGAATTACAAAAATTTTTAGCCACAGAACGAAAACACTCGAGAGGGCTTGGCTTAATGTGTGTAATTTTATGCACATTTATGTATCTGCGAATATGAAACAGATCAGCCAAGACAAGAGAGAGGTTACATCTTATTTACACACCTAAATTCAGTTCTCCCGAGTGAGAAAACAAGCGCTTTGATCTGCCTCAGAGGAGAGCTGCGTCGTGGCTCGGATGAATGGTGGAGGACAACGGGGTTCACGAAACCGTGAGGCTGTGAAAAATGGCATGCGAGATGAAAGGGCTGGCTTTGACAGAGGGATGCAAATGAAATATTATGTCTTAGTTTATGCAGGTCAGCCACCTGGCTGACTTTGTTGTTGGTCTGCAGTCACAGACCTAAGAACGTTATATAACTTTTTGTCCTGCTTTCCACTGATCATATTTGATTAAAAAAAAAGCATGTTCATGTGCAGACTTCTTTCTGATTATTTAAAAAATATTTTTTTATAAACACTTCCATATTGGTGTGACCTGTATCTTAATTTATAGAAAATCATTGTAAGACATTTATCCTATTCTATGTTTTCTTTTCTCCTCTCTGCTTCAATTAAGCAGTAATTGTTGCTTTAAATCCGCTGAATGAGGTTGAATTTGGTTGATTGCAGTTTGAGAAAATGAGGGTTCCAGCTGTGCTCTGGTTTTTGTTGTTTTGTTTTTTTACTCTGAAATTGAGCCTATTCATTTTCAAATTACTGTCATTCTAGAAACCAATGGCAAATTTAACTTGCTGATTACGAGGACCACTTAACACAAACGCAGAAGTGTGTATTACAAGTCACCCATGTGGAACAATATTGTGGATATTTTAAGTTTTATCTGTATTTTTTTGGCAAAAGATCTTTTGCAATGATGCAGATATAGGTCATGAGTACTTTATTGGTTCTGGCCATTAAGGCGTAAACAAACACATAAAAAGAATATTGTTACACTTGGTTTATATTTTCCATGTATGCCATTATTTAAGTCTCATTGAGCTCAGAAATCTTTTTAGCCACAAAGACTTGTCTAAAGTAGCAATAACTCAAATCAAAAGTGAATAAAACAGGTAAATACAATAAAACAGAATAGCTGGTAAAAAGGAAACCCGGCTGCTTGCTTTAAGTTTTTAGCTTTCGAGCGATCCCTCTTCATAATCAAGAATGTGGTGACAGTGGAGAAGAACCAGTCCCTGAAATCACAGATCCAAAAGTTGTTTCAATGGGGAGGAACAACAGACACACATAAACACTGGACACTTTTAATGGAGCAGAAAATCAAAGGCAGTACACATAGGTCATTATAGCAATTAATCAGAAAATCATTCAGTCCCGGAAAGAACTCCATAACACAGAAAAAAAACTGCACCAGGTGTACTTTTGATGATTGAGAAAAAACAAAGAGAACTCTAAATTAATCCCAGGAGTACTTGCCATTAAATTGCAATTCCTTTAAAAGAAAAACAGCTCCACACAGAAAATCTGAGCCAGGTGTACTTTCTATGATAAATAAAATCCAAAAGAAGACACAAAATGATAGCAGCTCAGTCACAAAAACAATGACCCACTTTTTATTCTCTA